TGGTGATACTGATAAGTGTAATTGTCGAAATTGTTAAGAATTTAAGCAATACCTCGTAGACGCAGTGGATATGTGCATCAGGTGTCATAACTAAGTTTAGGACCGCCTCTAAGGGGAGTAAAAAGTCAAAAAGGTGATTTTAGTCAAGTCTCGTTCTCGCCGAAAGCTCTCCAAAGTAACCAATCAAACAAAACCAAGTATTTTTTTCCCTAAATTTTATATACAACAAGTGGGTCAGATAACATTCCAAGGGAAGTTAATATAAAAGTAAGAAAAGTGGATTTAGTCAACTTCCATGTTCGCGTGGGCATAGTGTATATAGTAACTGCCATAGTAGGATGACAGTGATAACCAAAATAATAACTATTTTCAATAAATGTGTGGCACATGATGGTAATGATAAGATAGTTATGTTGTATAGTTTGATATTATATGTATTAGGGACGAAGAATCATGATATTAATATGAACTTACGGATATGCAGAAACTGATAGTACTTAGGGACATGAAGAATCAGAAACTGACTTAGGGGGACATGATGATATTAATATGTACTAGGGACATGAAGAATCAGAAACTCTTAGGGACAGGACATGAAGAATCAGAAACTGATATTAATATGTACTTAGGGACATGAAGAATCAGAAACTGATATTAGTACTTAGGGACATGAAGAATCAGAAACTGATATTAATATGTACTTAGGGACACGAAGAATCAGAAACTGACTTAGGGACATGAATCAGAAACTGATATTAATATGTACTTAGGACATGAAGGATCCAGAAACTGATATTAATATGTACTTAGGACATGAAGAATCAGAAACTGATATTAATATGTACTTAGGGACATGAAGAATCAGAAACTGACTTAGGGACATGAAGAATCAGAAGCATGAAGAATCAGAAACTGATGTTAATATGTTACTTAGGAGAATCAGAACGGGACCAGAACTTATCAGTGATAATATGTACTTAGGGACATGAAGATCAGAAACTGATATTAATATGTAATGAAGAATCAGAAACTGATATTAATATGTACTTAGGGACATGAAGAATCAGAAACTGATATAATATGTACTTAGGGACATGAAGAATCAGAAACTGATTAGGGACTGAAGAATGAAGTTAATATGTACTTAGGGACATGAAGAATCAGAAACTGATATTAATATGTACTTAGGGACATGAAGAATCAGAAACTGATATTAATATGTACTTAGGGACATGAAGAAGAAACTGACTTAGGGACATGAAGAATCAGAAACTGATATTAATATGTACTTAGGGACATGAAGAATCAGAAACTGATATTAATATGTACTTAGGGAAGAATCAGAAACTGATGTTAATATGTACTTAGGACATGAAGAATCAGAATGACTTAGGGACATGAAGAATCAGAAACTGATATTAATATGTACTTAGGGACATGAAGAATCAGAAAACTGATATTAATATGTACTTAGGGACATGAAGAATCAGAAACTGATATTAATATGTACTTAGGGACATGAAGAATCAGAAACTGATGTTAATATGTACTTAGGGACATGAAGAATCAGAAACTGATGTTAATATGTACTTAGGGACATGAAGAATCAGAAACTGATGTTAATATGTACTTAGGGACATGAAGAATTAGAAACTGATATTAATATGTACTTAGGACATGAAGAATCAGAAATATTAATATGTTCTTAGGGACATGAAGAATCAGAAACATATTAATATGTTCTTAGGGACACGAAGAATCAGAAACTGATATTAATATGTACTTACGGACATGAAGAATCAGAAACATATTAATATGTTCTTAGGGACACAAAGAATCAGAAACTGATATTAATATGTACTTAGGGACACGGAGAAATGCAAAGCGGACGAAAAGCAATCGTACCCCCGATGGAACGGCTGGGGCAATCAGAGTTCTCCATTGCCACCCAAGGATACACAATACCCAACTGCGACTGTGTCAGGTATGGTTAGTCTCTGCTGTTCTCTGATTTATTGTCTTCGAAATCTCTTCAATGAATGACGCTCTTTTAGAAATAATAATCATCCTTGTCGTTTTCGCATATTTCAAGGTTGTGTTTGATCGTTCGTCTCTTTGTCAATCAACGTTTCTATTTGTCTGTGTATGTATCGTCTATCTATCGATCTATTTACTTATCCTATTTACCTGGTTAAATCAGTGGTTCCCTGACTGGGGGGCGTGAGCTAGATATTGCGGTGGGTCGGGGTGGGGTGGGGCGTGGATCAGTCTTCCAAGGTTTGAATGTAAACAAACACACACATACGCACACGCACACACACACAGACGCACACAGACAGACACACACACACACACACACACACACACACACACACACACACACACACACACACACACACACACACACACACACACACACACACACACACGCACGCACGCACATACGCATACACACACGGACTAATTGTTTTTGTCATCCTCACGTGACATTATTGTCAATGTAACCAAATAGTAACCTAAACATACAAAAACAAGCAAACAAATAAACAAACGAGGGGATGGGCATTTCCTAAAAAGTTAAAAGAAGACAACGTGAAAAAGTTTGGTTCCTATACTGTTTCAAAATACTCGTAAATAAAAAAAGAAAGAAAAAAATGATTCATACAAATCACATTATGTTTTGGCCATTTTTGTAAAGGATAACAGCCAATTTCTAAAGACCTAAAGGTTCCGAAAATGGGCAGGACGGGGATAAATTAGGTTAAAATCAGGACGAAGCTGACCTTGTTTGAGGAGACGAATGAGCAGGGATAAGGTCTTTTCGTGAAGTTTTCCGTGTTTGCAAAAAGCTAAAACATTACTTAAATTACTGACGGTACTTTTCCTGTGTACTGTTCCGTAGCTACTTTTTTCTCGTATTGATTTAAGAGCCCTGACATATTAACTAGATAAACTGTCTCGGTTAACCTAGGCTACTTTCCATGGGTAGATACATCTTATTTCCTTTATTTTTTCGATCATTAAAGTACTTTCGATCATAACAAGAGTTTCACACAGGGTGGGAACCTCTGCCAAAAAATATTCACACAGATATCGGTCGTAAAATTGTGAATCAGTGCATAGGCCTTTTTTCCTGTTTGACCGAGCGAATTTTCACTTCATTCCTCTCTCTGTCTCCTCCTCTCGGTCCAGTCGAACCGCTAATCGCAAATACTCGAAGGGAGGAGAGAGAAAAAGAAGAAAAAGGAAAAGAATTGCTGATTCATGTATGCTCTGTCATCCATGTGGCTCCCTACTTTAGATTCGATTAATATGCTGTTTTTTTTCTTATTTACCCTACCTTGTTAATTACGGCATTTGACTTTCTAAGTATATAGGTAAACGTCTGTGTTGACGTGTACAGCATCAAAAAAGAAAAAAAAAAATCTTTCCCTCTCATTGTCTGTCTGCATGCTCCTCATCCCCTTCTCTCTTTCTCTCTCCTTCTCCCATTCCCTCTACCCCTTTATCTCTCTGAGTATAATCCATTCTCTCCCTTTTCTAAGCTTTTTCCAAATACAACCTCACGACAGGAGAGAGTGTACGACCGACATGCTTGAAGCGCCCGATGCCAAGTATGTCGTCGCTCTCTCCCGCCGTCAGTCACGTGGAGGATTCTTTGTTTTTTTCCTGGGCTGGGGTCACGGGGGAGCTCATTTAGACGATATAATGACTGATTTTGTGTATATTATTCATATTTTACCCCGCAAATATCCCTGGTATCTTTCACTGGTATCTATCGGGAACAAGAATGTGGGAGTTGGGGGGTGGGGGGGGATTCCGTGGAAATAATTCTTACATATGTACAAGAGGATGTGGGGAATCCATCGGTTATGCGAAGGTATTCTGCAAAATTATTCTCATTAATGTATAATTCTGCATTGCTCGCAAAAGATTCGGACTGAAACTAGACGACATCAGGCGAGTGCAGCGAGAGGCTCGAGCTGGCCAAATCAACCCGCCATCTTGGTTCCGAAGCAACTACACTTTCGAAGGCGATTCCACGTGTTCGGACTACGCCACGCAGCGAGGGGCGGGTCAAAAGGTGTTTTCTTACTCGTTCTATTCGCCCAAGGTTTATACGGAGAGAGGTAAGTTGCTTTCAGTTGATTGGGCTTGTTTGGGAGGATATTTGAATTCGATTGTCTATTGGGAATGTTTATGGTAATGTGGATAATGGTTAGATGAATTATTTCTGAACATTTTTGAGGTATATTTTAGTACAAGTTTATTTATAATTTTACACACGAACAACGAACACACACACACTAACACACACACACACACACACGCACACGCACACGCACACGCACACGCACACGCACACGCACACACACACACACACTCAATCTAATGAACATACAACCTTAATTATTAATGACGTCAATTTTCAACATTTCCCTGAACTTCTCTTCTCTTCTGCATATCAACGCAAGAAAGCCACTTTGCCCGATACCTGGGACACTTGTACTCGCACATCAGCAGCATCCACACCCAGTACCCCGGTTGGGTCATGAGGGTTTATCACAACGTCTCGAAGGAGGACGCCATCGTCAACACCATGTTCTGTCGGCTCTCGTGCGCGTTTCAACATGTCGACTTCTGCCACGTGAAGCACTTGCCTAATCGTCTCGGTAGTGGGAGGGAGAGAGGAAGGGAGGAGGGTGAGAGGGAGAGGGAGGGGGGAAGGAGGGAGAGAGGGAGGGAGGGTGAGGGAGAGGAGGGAGGGTGAGGAAGATGTAGGAAGGAGGGTGAGGGAGATGTAGGGAGGAGGGTGAGGAGAGAGGGAGAGAGGAAAGGGAGTGAAAGAGGAGAAAAAGAGAGAGAAAAGAGAGAGAGAGAAAGAGAATGTTGAAAGGGTACGGGACACCGAAAAACCTGCAAACCCGTTTTATCCTCACTTACAATCCTCAACACACTATTCGTTTTAACCGTGGCACCATCCTCATTTTCACGCCCTCACGCCCACAGACTTAATGGGAAAAGGAGTCGTGGGTCGAATGTGGCGGTTTGCTGTCATGGGCGACCCGACGGTGTCAACCTTCCTTGTCAGGGACAGTGACAGGTAAGGGCATGTCTGGGTGGGTATTTAGAACGATGTTTTATTTTATTTTTATTATTTATTCCCATACATTTTATGATTATGTTTATTTATTTATTTATGATTATGTTTATTTAAATTTATTTTCTATTATTATGTGATTATGAATTCTACCCATGCCTGTATCATTGAGGAAATGTTTTATTTGTTGATATTCCTATTTAGTTGCTGTATATGTTAGTATGCGTGTAGATAATTAAATGTACACACAGATGAATAAACAATTATGTAGACACAAACATACTAATAAGCACACACAACCAGGCAAGCAAAAACACACACATACACACAAACAGACAAACACATGCACAAGTAAGCAAGCAAACACAATCAAACAGACAAGCAAACATAAACAAAAACAAACACACACGCACACACACACTCACAAACAAGCAAATAAACAAACACAAGCAAACATAAACAAAACAAACACATCACACACACTCACAAACAAACAAGCAAATAAACAAACACAAGCAAACATAAACAAAAACAAAAACACGCACACACACACTCACAAACAAACAAATAAACGCACACACTCCCCCTCCACCCCCTCTGCATGACGACATCCTCACTTGGCTGACAGCATGATCATCGAGCGGCAGGTGAGGGCAGTGCAGGAGTGGCTGGCGTCAGGCAAGGGCTTCCACGTCATGCGCGACCATCCTAATCATCATGCGATCATGCTGGCAGGTCCGTTTTGCATGAGAGGTTTCATGCCTGACGAATGACTGAGATATTTTGTTTGAAACATGACTTTGGTTTGTTAACATGTTGCTAGGCCCGAAATAATGACTAAATTATACGGTCATGCAGATACACTGAAGTAAATGCATGTCTGTCAGTCTAGATATGCATATCTAACGTAGAGATAGAAAAATAAATGTATATCTATATGATAAATCGATAGCTATGCATTTATTTCTGTGTATATGGATGTCTATTTATACGAATATTCATTGGGTCGGGCCTGGCACAATTTTAACAAACCGGCCGACGGACATGCATATACACTGAAGTAAATACATGTCTATCAGTCTAGATATGCATTTCTATCGGACAGACAGATTGATAAATGTTTCTATCAGATAGATCGACATATATGCATGTCCGTATGAATATTTATTGGTTCGAGCGTCGCACAATTTTAACAAACTGGCGGGTTAGTCTTTATGTTAACTGGAATGGAGGTATTTATCAAGGACTTAAGATACAATTGGGATGATAGAAATTGATATCTCAAGAAAACAAAGGTAAAAAAATGGACTAAAAAGGCTGAACTTATTACAAAAGAAGATAATTGAATAATGCAAAGACGAAAAGGAAAAAAAAAGAAACAAACGATTAAATTTAACAAAATACAATACGATAAAGAAATAACTACAAAACTGACAGACATGGCGAATCTACAAAAGAGACAGTATAACAAATCCCCCAAAATACCATGATATACCAAAAAAAAAAAAAAAAAAAGTAGAACTGCCCCATTAACCCCCCTCCCCCTACCCAACAGGCCTCTGGGGGGGACACAACAGGAACCTCTCGCTGCTGAGGAAAGTTCGAGACGACATCTTCGCTCAGCCCACCAACCTGACCACCAAGTTCGATCAGTACATGCTGGCTACGAAGCTCTGGCCGCACATCAAGGTGAGTCTGGAATTGGAGGATTTGTGAGTCTGGATCTGGAACTGGAGATTTGTGAGTCTGGAACTGGAGGATTTGTGAGTCTGGGAGGATTTGTGAGTCTGGAAGGAGTTGTGAGTCTGGAATGGAGGATTGTGAGTCTGGAACTGGAGGATTTGTGAGTCTGGAACTGGAGGATTTGTGAGTCTGGAACTGGAGGATTTGTGAGTCTGGAACTGGAGGATTTGTGAGTCTGGAACTGGAGGATTTGTGAGTCTGGAACTGGAGGATTTGTGAGTCTGGACTGCTGGAACTGGATTTGTGAGTCTGGAACTGGAGGATTTGTGAGTCTGGAACAGGAGGATTTGTGAGTCTGGAACTGGAGGATTTGTGAGTCTGGAACTGGAGGATTTGTGAGTCTGGAACTGGAGGATTTGTGAGTCTGGAACTGCTGGGAGGATTTGTGAGTCTGGAACTGGACTGGAACTGGAGGATTTGTGAGTCTGGAACTGGAGGATTTGTGAGTCTGGAAGGATTTGTGAGTCTGGAACTGGAGGATTTGTGAGTCTGGAACTGGGAGGATTTGTGAGTCTGGAACTGGAGGATTTGTGAGTCTGGAACTGGAGGATTTGTGAGTCTGGAACAGGAGGATTTGTGAGTCTGGAACTGGAGGATTTGTGAGTCTGGAACAGGAGGATTTGTGAGTCTGGAACTGGAGGATTTGTGAGTCTGGA